TGCATGGAACGCAACGCACACAGATCTCACAAATTATTACGCATACGCCATGTTGTCCGATACGCTATGGACAACAGCTGACCAATCATTATAATATGAACATATGCGTGTGTGTTTGCTGTTGGGCGCGTCGGTGTGTGTGCGCGAACTCAATTACAGTTTGTAAACTTTTCAATTAGCTGTAAATAATTTATTTATACATTTTTCATGCAACTCATCGAAAAGGCTTGTAAGTTTCGGTTGTTCTGAGGCTTGCGCTGGGGCGGTATTTACATTTCACATACGAGCGTTTGTATGAATGCGTGTGTTTAATTGAAATTGTTGTTGTCTGAATTCCGATCTGGGTGTTGGGCCGTCCCTCCTTCGAGGACAGAGCCTTTTTATGTAACATTAATACAGTTAAGCCTTACTCCTTTTTTTCGCAGTTCATTTTAACACGCAACTGGGCGTATGATTGATATTCTTTTACCTGTCGCACATCATTATCGAATGCAAATTTCGTCTTCCCACCATAATGCGCTACATTTAATTGGCAATGTAATGTTGTTCTGTAATGTTCTGGTATTAATTGTCTATCCTTGAAACTCTTTTAACTGTAGATTTGAGATTGGAAAAAATTCAAATTCAACCATTTTGTGTGAGGTGTGCCACTTTTTGGTTTCATTTTTGGATTTCAAGCTAATATTAGGCTTTCTACTCTGTCCAAAACGCACATACGGCTTAGATACAAGTATTTAGCCCATAACTCCAATATTCTCTCATCTAACCATAAAAGTTCACTTTTCTCCATATTTCGTATGTAGCAAGCATATATACTATATAGGTATATACATATATAAGTAGCATAATAAGACAAGTCGAAATAGACATGTTTAAACTCCGATATCTTACTCGGTATAAAGACAGATGTTTGGTAAAAAATTTACTCTTCGCAGGAATCATTTAAAAAAGCTTTTTATAAATTAAAAACACCCGAGTCATTTCAATTTCCACAGAGCAACCCCTTTCTCTCTCCCTCTCGTTTTACCATTTATACAAATTTGATGATAATTTTCGTTTGCTTTTGCTGCCCCACGCCCTTCATGTTAATGTTAACCTTTATTGATGGGTAATTATTTTGTGAAATGCGTCTTTTGTGTGTCAATTTCAGGAGAGCGCGAAAGAGCACTCCTCCCACAAACGATTTTACAAAATTGCAGCGTACGCAAATATTGACAGCCCAACATTACATTAATGAGTTGCTGATGCTCTTGCTGTTGGTGCAGCTGCTCTATTTCCATTTTCATTATTGAATGGCATCTTAATTAAAAACATATTTTTCCCACAAAAGACAGCACACAAAATTTCACCAAGTCAACAATTAACACACGTGCAGAACAGGACGCATCTGACATTGTTGCTGCCACTGTGCAAGTAGCCCACATGGTCCAATTCCCAGTAGTAGAAACAAAAAATAGGCAGCAGCTATTCAGTAGTCAGTAAAGAAGTCCGGGCTTTCAATGCAGCCACGGACCAGAGACGTCATGCTCGTCATCAGCATCAGTCGCTGCACTTTTTCAGTTTCAGTTTCAGCTCAACTACAGTTCCTGGGAGGGTTTGTGGATGTTTCCGGTGCGCTTTCCGTCATCAATTCGTCGCTTCATCTCTCCGTGTCTCTGCCGCCTCCACAACGCCACAACGCCACATCGCCTCGTCGCCATCTTCCTTTTCAATTATGACTTTGCTTTTGTGATTCGTGGCAATATTGAACATGCTGCACGGCCCCAGGCGAATGTGATTTCAAATGCGAATGCGAATGCTCGCTCGCTCGCTGTCGATTTGCGCTCATTGCGCTGATGTTTTTCGTTTTCACACAATCAAACCGCTTTTGTTGCGATTTGAAGCAAATCCACCAAAGCTGCAACAGCATCAGCAACAGCAACGGCAACGGCAGCCATAAAAAAGGAACTGCTAGCCCCAAAACATAAATTGAGTTGTTGTTGATGGGGGAAACGTCAAAAAATCCACAACTTTTCTACTGTTGCTTTCGGGGCCGGCAGCCTCAACGACGACGTCATCATGCATGATCGATAGTTTTACATATTTTCGCTGTCAACGTTATTATTTTTTGATTTTTTTTTGTCGGAGCTGCCCGAAAGGCGCTTGATTTGTTGTTTGTCTTCTGCAGTACATTTCCGGCGCTGTTCTGTTCATTTTTATTTAGTTTTTGTTATTTATAGCGGCTGCCGTCCCAGTGGTGGTCATCGAAGGGTTGTGGAAAGGGGAGCGACTATGGCGCTTGCCAACAGTCAGGCATTGATTTTTAATAAATTTTTGTGCACAGCTGAAATGCCGACACCATGCTCGTTGCATAATTTCGTTTCAACTCCATTTCCGTTTCGAACTAATCAAAAAGTGTAATTTCCGATTAGTCGTATTCAACATCGAGTGCGGCCATGTTGACCTGACCGGCCCATCAGAATATGAGTCTGAGCCCAACAGTGCACTACTGAGGCTGTTCATAGTTTGCTCGACTTTTGCCTCAAGTTGAACAAGGTGCACTCTTTTTCTTGTCCGGTCGGGCCTGCCAGCTGCCTCGCCGTGTGCCTTTTCATTGTGCACGTAATAAATTGGCACATTGACCCGTGGGGTCAACACAGGAAAAGTTTTGTTTGGTAGGGACGAGGTGTGTCGGTATACTTGCAGTAGTAGTGGTGCTGTGAGTCGAGCCTGCAGTGAGGCAACAGTTGTGAGATAGTCCTAAAATAGTAGTGAGGGAGAAACCAGGCCAACAATTGCAGCAAAAGATTACGGAGGAGGAACCAATTTGTTCCCAGAGCCGCCGAATAAAAGTAATACTATTTAGAAAGTTCCTTGAAGCGTTTCCATTGTTTAAAGGAAAGTATTGCAACTTATATTAAAATAATTATTTTAAGTGTTATCTTTGTATTTATATACAATATCTTTAAGGAAGTTATTGATTTGCATAACCAGCCTATGTTCCATCTGATTCTGAACTCTTTCCATAAGTATATATGTATCTGGGAGTATATATATCTGGAAGAGAATACGAAACCTGCCAGCAATAAAGGACCAATTTGTTCCATCTGACAACCCTTTCTATGTGCGCGCCATTGCATTCGTAAAGAATTTCGCAAACCTTTCTGCGCCTGCTTTTAAAGGCAGTTCAAGCACTACAGTGTTTAATTGCAACGACAAGCTGGCCTACTATCTACGGCAGGTGCATTTGGTTGTGTGGTAGGTGCGGTAAATACTGCTAACACACGCATATGTACGAAAAAAGGAAACAAAAAACATCTACAGCGACACTTCATTTGCATATGAACAGGCAGTAGTGGCACACATGGCACCTGCATGTTGCAGCAGCAAAAACAACAAAATGTAGAACCAACACATTAACAAGTGTTGACTAAGCGACGACTAAACAAGCAAACAGTTGGACAAACCCCTCTTGTTTCGGCTTAACGTGGACCAACAATATTTTTTGTTATAAAGAGCGTCAGCAACGCTGCAAATTTGTTTGGGTTTGTTTATAAAAATTTAAGGCACTTTCTGCAGTAGAAATGGCAATGAAAGCACGGAAATCCCTGAGCCGCAAGTAGGCGGGGCGGGGGCGCTGGCGGAGGCAGATGCGGGAGTGGCAGCTGGAAAGGCAGCCTAAAATCCCATTTGTGCACCCAACCAGTGAGTCAGTCGGTCGGTCATAGTCGGTCAGGCAACCAGCCAACCAGCCGGACAGACAATGCACCGTGGGCATTTTATTTATGCAAAAATAACAAACAAGAGTCAAGCAGGCAGCAACGGCAGAACAGTTACACACACAGACAGTCACTAACACAAGCGCCAGAACAGAGCCTAAAAGCCTCAAATACTGTCTGTGTACCGCCGACGTCGCCACGTTGCAACGGACATTGTCGCCGTGTGGATTATTCACAGCCGTTGAAAGTGTGCAATGAATGAATTTATGCGTTCCACCATTGCCGTCGCCGCCGCCATCGCCGATATCGGGCCTCGGGCTCGGACTCAGGCTCGGGATCGCCTGACCACCACCACCCGTCGCCTAGCTGTGCAAAATTTATACAAATGTGGCGACGTTCGCCATGTTATCAAGCATTTTGTTTATATTTGTTTCGCTTTTGTGGGCATCCTGTGATTTTGGCGCAAAAATACAAATTAAGCGACGGAAGCGGAAGTGCAGAGAATAAGCGAGTAAAAGAGTGGCGGATAAAGGCACACGAGAGGCACACGAGTCTCCACTGCTATTAAGTTACAATTTTTTTAAACAATTTTTTGCCAACGGCCATTTGCCTGCCGTGTGACTCGCGTTAATATTTTAAGCGCATTTTATATTCAGTACACAGAAAAAAAACCCAAATGGGGAGCGGCAGACCAAACCATTGAGTACAGGGTATACAAGAGTCGTATTCTTTAAACAATTATTAAATTTAATTTGATAACAAGTTCTTTGTAACAGCGAACTAAGAATCAAACAGAACGCACTCAATATAAGTATTTCATTCCCAGGCAGGCGCCTCTTTTCATTTGATTTCTCTAGCAAGACAAATATAAACAAAAGAGCTTATGAAATTATAGTTAAGTTCATTTTATACCCTGAATCCACAAGGTAAAACGTCAATATAAGTACATATACATGTTCATCTACCCATAATTCTAATACCGCTTAGATTTCGGAAATTCCTAATCCATTGGCGATACGAGTATTTTAATTCCGTTGTATTCCTTGCCCTCTTGCAGCGATATCTACGTTGTACACAATCTGTTGGTAGTTTATTTTCACAATTTCAAATCTAGAAAAATATACATATTTGATAAAATTAACGATGCTATCAAGATTTATCTTGTTAAGTTTTCGTTTTGTTCGAAATCATTATCCTTGCTTGCTTATTCTACCGCTCTTCTGCTATTAGCTAGAGTTAGAATTACCAAAGCCACAAATTTACTGACGAACTTGTTCTTTATTTGTCTTTCCTCCATTGCAGCCAAAGCCTCTAAAGTCATACACTTGCGCAACATTCCAAACGAGTCCGGAGAATCGGATGTAATTGCACTAGGAATCCCATTTGGACGTGTCACCAATGTGCTCGTACTGAAGGGCAAGAATCAAGCATTTATCGAGATGGCCGACGAGATTGCGGCAACATCGATGGTATCCTGTTACACAGTCAATCCGCCACAGATGCGTGGACGCATGGTCTACGTACAGTTCTCCAATCATCGTGAACTGAAAACAGATCAAAGTCATAACGTAAGTACAAGAGAAATGATTACTATATTGCGTAATACTACTACCCATATGAGATCCACTCGTAGATTAGTATAAAATTGCGTTCCCTGTGCTAAACTTATTCGCAATCGAGTAGGTTGTTCGAATGCTCAGAGGAGGCGTAGGAAAGAATGCCTAAAGAAAGATTAATCTGGCAATTAAGTTGGACAAACAACGATTTATATGCAAAACTATTTTGGTCATTATGTGGGACAATTCGAGTACGACGACGAATGCTACTAGCTCCTGATTAATTACAATCTCTGGGCAACTTAATTCCCAGACACACACACGCATACGCACACATACTCGTGCACATACTTTCAGATAAGGGCGGGCGTAGCTGCTCATAAATGTTGAGATATTTGTCAGTTGGGCAAACCGATTTCTAATTTTAATTTCGTAAGCCACAAAGTCAGCAGCAAGGTTTAAAAAGCTTTCAAATAAATATACATGGTCACACACACACACACAGACGCACACATATGTTGACAAAGGCAGACAAATTCATAGTTTTTGGGGTTTCGGCTAAGCACACAAATGAAAACCACACACACAGAGAAGAAGGACGCACTCGGGCACCCACAGATGCTCCACACATACGTACTCAAAGCCAAAAACATATTTTGATTACTTAAATGAAAGCAGCAGCTCGAACAAAAAGTGAGCAATGTTTTAGCTCTTGTTGTTATTCTACTATACATGTGAGTAGTTATTGTTGTTGTCGCCTGCTCTTTGCTGGCACAAACCCAAAGCGGTGTTGCCACCTTTGCGTGCCATCTGATGGCGCATCACATTAGTCGCATCAGGCCCGGTGACAGCCCCTGCGGAAACCCAATGTAACCCGAGAGCTACCCACAAGCAAACTACTTAAAAAGAGATCGCCGGTACGCACTTGTTGTTGTTGTTGCTGCTGCTGCTGTTGTGTCGGTGAGGGGGGGATAAAGGTTGCTGCAGCAATAGAAGCACCACAAGTAGCAGGCGGGGCATTGGCGGGCAGGCCTGCTTATGACTGAGGTGGCACAACAACAACATTAAGAGCGCCAAACAATATAGTCACATTTCACTGATTACCTTTTGGCTGTGCGGCTGGCAACTCTGCCGTGAGTGTGAGTGTGTGTGTGCGGCGCCTGATTTCTCTTGTTAACTACTAATCCTAGTAAAAGGCCTTGTTGCTTTAGTCCGGCAACAGTAAAAGCAACCACAACAACAACAACGTCAGCAACGGCAAGTGGAAAAGTCAACGCTGTTCTAGTAGAAAATAGCTTTAAATGCAAGATAGAGTGTGAGTGTGTGTGTGTGTGTGTATCAGTGTGTGAATGTTTTTGTCTGTCTATGCGAGCTTAATCTTTTGTATACCTGCATGTTGTTGTTGCTGCCGCCCGCATCACGCCGCCCGCCGCCCGCCTCTCTGCCTGCCAACATATTTATACAATTTCTCATTTCATTCAGTTTTTGTCTGCAGTTGCCGCCACTCTGCCGCATTGTCAGCCTGCCTCCTTATTTTTCATTCTTTCCTCTTCTATTTAGTGTAGTACATGTATGTAGCCTGGTGCCTGCTGCCTGCTGCCTGGCCTCGCATTTTAACAACTGTCTTCATTGGTTTTTGTTGAGTTGGACCCGTCTCCTTCGGATTCACCTGAAACATCGCCATCGCCATTGCCTTGATTGCCTTCGTCGCCTTTACAGCATCTTGGCTGCTCCTTTTGTTATTGCTGGTGCTTGCTGCTCTTGTTGCGATGTGCCTCATATTTCTCAGTTTGTCATTTGTTATTCGAGTATAGTATGTGTTTTTATTTGTCGCTGCAGCAATGGCGTGCAAAAACCCAGATAAGAAGCTTCTCTGAGCTCAGCAGCCTCGCATGTGGTAGCTGCTAATGCTTAAGAGAAATCACATGTGAAATGCCAAAAGAAAAGAAGTCGAAAATCAGGGAAAAACATACAAAGATGTAACAGCAACAGCTGCTCACCACACTTGACATGTTACTGTCCTCCATTCTTGCTCAGACAGTCGTCTCTCCTTCAGTCCAGAATGACAAGCTGCAGTTACAACATATTTTTATATGCGACACAGCTGTCTTCTCCTATTTAATTACTTCAGAGATACCTACGTATGTTATATAAATTGGCCCAAACTAATCATATCTGCAACTTTACTTAAATATCTAACTAAGAAAAAACCTCTTTGTCTGCTAGTTGGAGTCGCTTTAACCGCTTTACCAGACTGTGGCTTGTTTTAAATATTTAAAAATGTCGCTTACAGCTATGGCGCTATGGACGCTCGAATTTCTTCGGCCACACTAGAGGAGTGGGTTGTGCAGCTAATAATGTTGCTATTGGCCCATAACTCTGTAATGGGAAACCCCAAAAATGTACTTAATTTTTTTCGCATCACATTTTCCACGAGGTTTCATGTGAGGTAGCTGCTGTCGATAGTTGTCTAGTAAAAATGCAAAAATGTTTCCATGCCCGCAAACTATGTTGCCATACGCGCGCACACACACATGTACGCACTAAGAGACACACACATGCTCGTTCTCACACAAGAGTCCCATTGCATACCTTAAGGGACTTAACCCCAACACACGCACCTGCATGACAAAAATGAAAGCAAAGCCATGACAGTCGGGAGCCGGCAGCAAATCAGCAATACAGGATTTCCAAATCATCTGCTCACACATGCACACATACACACGCACACACAGTTACAGATATACACATATATTTAAAGATTTCACCGCCTGAGTGATTGCGTCGCATGCCGACGCAGAGCAACCGAAAAATGAAACGGTAAACGTGGAAATAGAAAATAAAACAATGCGACAAGAAAAGAAACAGCAAAAACCAATCCTTGTAGCATACATTGTGGCGCAGGGCACTCGCCAAATGTCTGCGCCAACTGACATTTATGTTGGCAATTTCGCAGTCAGGTGACGTGCGCTGCCTCTGCCGTTGCTGGAGCGTTGCGTAGCAGGATTCTAATATGTCATGTCGTCCTATCACCCTATCCGCCCCACCTCTAATGCCATTGCTTCTTGAGCTGCTGCCACTACATTTGCTCGGCTTTTTTCTTCATCCAAGAATCCTACAGCGCATATACGAGTACATACTAGTATATATACTAGTTCTATTCGCGGTACTTCTCCAAAAAATAGATGATGAATATTTACATGCAAGTGATTGATTAAATGTAAAAAGGTACTTCCGTTGCTTCGATTAACATGGTCTGTTGCTTTAAATATAGTATAAAGAAGCTTGTTTATAATCGGATAATAACCGAGGGAAAGTAGTTGTGGAGACAAATCAGTTTGTTCTCATCATCATTGGACTGCAACATTCTCACTTGTTTGCTTATGAATATGTGTACCTAATAATTTTGTGCGTCATATCGGTACAATTTCTCTACAGATTGGTTCAGAAACATGGATCTTTTGAAGTTTTGTACACTCCCTCAGCTAATATTAGATCGGAAGCTGTAGGGAGGCAAATGGTAGCTAGGAGACAGCCATGGCTTTTATTTGTAGTATATAAAATAGCGTGTCCAGACAGACTGCTCTCGAATTCGTCTCAAAGAATATCATTTTCATACTAAATGAAAAGTTACAACAAAGCTATTTTCCTTTTTCGCTCCTTAATTGCCTCCTCTAAGAATTGGAAGAGCTTCTGTGAAAATTAATTGTCTGTCTGACCCTGGCCTTAATAACTTATGTATTAATCTAAAGGAGGTAGCTGATTTAAAGAAAACATCAGCAATAATAAGACACTGCGCGTCTTAGGCTGTATCGAAAATAGGCAAACACACGATACTCGCCTCAGTGACAAGCCCAGGACATTCTCTTGTGGACTACTTACCATCAAGAAATGAAGATAAATGCATTTGGAGTTCACGCGGTCTCCCATTTGAGGTTACAACCACAACAAGCTGCCCTCCAAACGCTAACCATTCGTAAAGCAAGAACCCTCAGCTCCTTCTTCATCGACCCTGCCCAAAATTTTCTTTGTTTGTTTGTGTGTATATTGTTTAACTCTTGCGGCAAACCGTGACGCTGCCTGTGCCTGTCTCTGTTCAGAGCTCAAATTTGACATGTGATTGTTTTGTGTGTAACTGTAACTGTGCATCTGTCGTTCTGTCTGCGTCTCTTCCGGTCCTCTCCCAGGTCCTTCTATACGTTTGTGTGTAATTTTGATAAATTAATTTTTGAGCTGGCCCAATGCGCGTCACACAAAGGGTTGACAGTCACTTGGGACGATGGGAACGACAGCGACAACGACAAGAGGCAGGAGCCACAAAGAAACAAAAGTGAATGCTACAGTCGAGCAAGCTGAACAGTGAAATACTCTGAACCCAAACAAAAGTTACGCCGCTATACAATCAAATAAAATTAACTCGTATTTCGTACCTACCAAGCTAGGCGTAAGTGGACTTAGTCGGTTTGAACTGCAGGTCTAGATAGATTGATAATTTGCTTCATTCTGCCTGTTACGTACTTTGCTCGAATATAATATACTCTTTTGCACGATTGGGCTACAGGGTACACAAATAAGCAGATTGAAATTTAATTTCAAACAAATGCCATCCAGAGTACGTCTCTAGTGTAACATTTTCAAGAGGCTTGTGTACGCGCCTAAAAGGGTTCTGCATTTATAGATTATTACAATTGATTAATAGCTTTATGGCTAAGCAAGGCGTTCATCATCATTCCCGATTAATGCTTTGGGCGGCGGTAATTTCAGTAATAATCGTAATTGGCACTTGTGTGGCAACAAAGAAAACGGCACTAAAAGCAGCAAATAAAACTGAGGCAACAACGGCAACATCCCAACACAAAGTGCAGGTCAAGCACGTGGATGTGCCGATGCGTCGGCCACAGGACTGCACTTAGCCGTTAATACGGCGGCCGCAGAAGCGTCGAGCGCTGGCCATAAATGCACTGATTACAACCAACAACAAACAGCGGGGCTAGCCAGATATTTATTATACT